ACATACCGCTGTGAATTGACAGTAACTGCATGATTTTCTTCTTCAAAAAAATAAGGGCCAATAACTCCAACTCTTGACAACGCACACCATACTGTCACCTTATCACTGTGAAGTGACCTCTCATGGAGCTCTCTGGGATTGTTACCACTCCAATAGCGCATATTCTGCTTGTTGACATATTCGGATAGGTGAAAATGTGCCTCATCACTAAAGAAAAAAAAGTGTGTCAGGGGGTAAACTTTCCAATAACGTTCCGCACGCCGTTATTCGGTTCTGGAAATCACGCGGTGACAATTCTTGCACAGCAACCATCTTATATGGATGGAAATGAAGATGTTCGTGAAGAATTCCGCGCATTGAACGATTGGATATGTCTAGGGCGACTGCATGTTTGCGAGCGGAGCGTCTTGGTGATCTCAAAATCGACTGTCGAACTGTCTCCACATTTTCTGGCGTCGTAACGGTCCGTTGTCGTCCTGATGATTTTTTCACCACACACCCGGTTGTCCTAAAGTTCACTACCCACAAAACAATCGATTTCCGGCCGGGAACCGGACCTCTGGGCTTAATTCCGAAGTGAGTACGGAACGCACGCTGCACCGCCACTTGGGAATGGTTGTTCGAAAAATAGGCTTCGACAGCAAACGCACACTGCTCACTCGTCCACCTCATGTTTCTTACTGAGAGGTATTAGACAGAAACTTCCGCGACTGCTGCGTTCGCCGAGCCTATCCCCACTTTTCTGCGACCTCCCCTCCCTTCACAATGCGTCTTCACAAAAAGGAAGTTTCTGCGCCCCACTCTATGTATCATGGCACCTGAGCCCATCTCAAAGCGTATTTCATAAATTCCTCCAATCAGTCTGTCTGTATGTGAATCCTCCCCTATTCCTGCTACGCAACGGCTCAGTAAACATATTTCCGCGACGAGTGCACAGCAATAGAAGAATTGTTGGACATGTCGTTCTCTATGCGGTCCGTGTAGGCGATTAATTCTTCCAACATCTTCTTGCCTGAATCTTCGATTAATCCTTGACAAACGCGACCGCACGCGTAATTCCGTAATAATAATAATAATAATAATAACAACAACAACAATAAACACGTTCACATTCCCTTTACACGTCTATCTTCGCCACACACGATACTCCCATCACAGCAGCTGCTAACTTACAGAACCACCTCATACTTATAGAAAAATGGCTAAAAAAATGGAAAATCAGGGTTAATGAAACAAAATCCATTCAAACAGGAACAGAAGTTGAATGAAATAGTAGGAGGCTGGAGAAAATTGTACAGTGAAGATCTTCATGACTTATGCTTTTTGTCGGGTATTCCGAGATTGATCAACTCAAGGAGGGGGAGGTGGGTGGTGGATTTATAGGTTGTGTTTAGAACTTTGTAGAGGATATGGAAATTCAGTATTTTTTTTATTGTAGGTTTCGTAAAGATGAATGTGAAAGGTAATGCTGTCCTTGTACTTAATTATTTGCCAGGACATATGGGTCAGTGAAGGTATATCTCCATGCAGTTGTAATGTCGGAATTAAGTGGAAATTACTGGTGAATTCCATTCTCCAGCTGCTTTACTATCAGAAAAAAGACCACAGCATCCCTTGGGTAGGAGGATGGGTAGTCTCAGAGCCGGTATGAATGCTGTGGAGAAGAGAAAAACCTTTTGCCCTGACAGGAATAGAACTCCCGATATTTCAGCTATCTTGCACGAAGCCCATTGCTATATTGACTGAGCTACCCTTGCCCCTTAATTTCTTTCATAAATAACCCGAATGAAATGTTTGTTTTGGATTACCGGTAATTACGGGCCTAGATAATGGTACTGAATGGGGAGGTGCAGAAATATACTACCGATGGGAAGCACTTTGGCATGGTTGAAAACACGTGACATTTATCTCGATCAAATTCTTATAAATATGAAGTCTTTGTATGTATGATAAAGTTCAAAAGTTCCCAGTCCATTTTAGCAAGGGGATTTTGAATTGATGTAGATGAAATATTTGTACTTTATCACCAGCAAGGGTTGAGCTTCTTAGCCTGTTCCGTCCTCAAACATGAAGCACTTTGAAGGTTACAAATAACTCCTTTTGAGCACGTTACTAGTCTGTTGCAAAACCCCTATCTTGGAAGTCCAACATTTTTATACAGAGTATTCTTTCCTTAGACAAGTTGACTGCCATGGCTAATGAGACCTGTGTATCCGCCACATAGACCTGGGAAGGGTCCTTTACCAGGTGCTCCCCAGAGGGGCCATTGAAACCTGGAGCTCACATAAGGTAGGTTCACCACTCTCTGTAGAACTCTCTCTTATGGGAGTTCCAACTTTCTGCCTTTAATAAAATGTTTGTACTTCATTACAGGAACTGCTGTGGAACTTTTACTTGAGAGACGTGAGTAAAGTTATATTGGTTACATCAGTCTACATACGTCACTTTAAAAAACGAAGTTCCTCTATAGAACAAGATATCTTTTATTGTAAAATGATTCCCTGCTCTGTTGAAAAGAATACGGAGATAAGGTAGATAATAGTTGAGCTATGCACCGTCTGAGCTCTTGGCAGTGGCTGTATAATATCATACGCCGTCCCATGTTTCCCATCGTAAGCGCCAGTATCTGAAAGTGATCCGTGATCGAGAAGTGTGATTGGTTCAGATGAGCGGCTGGCTTAGCGACTATGCGAAATCTTTTGAGAATAATTTGAACGATTTGCATACTCAAAGTACACCAAGCGTTTAGATGTCGGTAGTGCATGGACCAACAACGTGATTCTGTGCCGGACCATTCCCACCAATAGTGGTGTGGCCCGGTGTGGCTAGATCACGTGATCACGTGTGGTCACGTTTGGTTGTGTACTGCGGTGTAGCTTGTACAGAAAAGGATGGGGACTGTGGAACCTGTGGAATGTGTGGATGATATGGTTGAACGTTGTGTGGACGTAGGAATTTAGTAGAGAAGAATGCAAGGAAAGGTTTCGTTGCGCTTAGAAATTTGTGCCTTCATCAAATGACATGGCAGGGTACAGAATGTATATGCTGAAATGTACATGTATACTCGTACTATCATGCAATTCCGTTCTGACTTTCAAATCAAATTGCCATAAATCACATGAGCCTGACTACTGCAGGAATGAAAGCGTCAGCTGTAAGTCGCAGGTAAGCAATGAATGCGAATATTTCGATGACCGTTGTTTAATGATTGCTGCAGAATGTGGTTAGATTGTATGTTAAAAGTGGTGGTGCTTATAATGCTTTTGGTGTTTATGTTGTTAGGTGTATGGGGACGTGGTTGCCTGTCAACCTCAGGAGAAGACTTAAGTGCTGCGACAAATTTTATTTTATCTATAATTGTTCTAGAGAATTGGGTAGCTCAGTCGGTATGGCGATGGTCGGGGTTCGTTTCCTGGAAGGGGCAGTTTATTATTTTCTCATTAGCGGCCAGACCGGCTCGGGCTGACCTAGCCTCCCATCCATTGGGTATCGGGGTGTGAAGCTGGCTACTTTTCTCCATCAAGTGCCGATGTCAAGAATGGTGGAGCTGTACCTCCACTTCCCCATATGCTGTCATGGCGTGTTGCCAAATTAGTTGAACACAAGGAAAACTTTGCCTTCTACAGTTGTAGATAACGAATTCAGCTTTTACATAAAAAAAGTATATTATGAACAAGACTTAACTATGGTTGCCAACTTGCGATCGAATTATTGGACACTTTTGATTAGTAAATTTTAGTGTTGTCCTAAATGCATTAAACTTCAGTAAACTTGATTTTGGGATATTTTTAAGTCATGTTAACAGTGGATGCAACCGTGAAATGATATAAATTGTACTATAAATTTACCATGTTTTATTTGGTTGATTAATTTTTGATCACTTGATGAAGTTGTGTAATGTGAGACAACATATTTTATAAAGTAACTAGTAGAAATGTTTATAAAAGCAGTACAGTTTCAGGGAAAAATCTGTGAATACACATTATGTGGTACTTCCCACAGACCTAGCCACCACACTTAATATAAGCAAAACTGGTTATTAACACAAATTTTGGTGCCTTGTTGTAAAGACTTATTTTGTTATCAGACTGTACATATTGATGGCATTTGTGGGCAATGTTAAATATGTTACATTACTTGAAAATATATACTGCAGAAAGTAGAAACATAATGTGATAATTGTCTTTTTTTTTTACTGTCTCTTTCAGTTACAGAGCTTTCCAAATGCCTCAGATGCAGATTGCATGATAGAAGCTCCAGGAGGTAAGATTGTGTTTGATTCATGTTACTACTGAGAGACTGAGGTGGAGAAGGAGTAATTATGATGATGGTATGGTTTAACAAGAGAATTCATCCGCTGCTCTGCAACGGCCAGTAAACAACATGTGACAGCTGGTTTCTGTAGTAACAGATATGTACACAACAAAAGAGGAACTGCTGGAAATGGTGTTTCTGTTGAGTCCNATCCTTCCTGAAGCTATGTAGCAAGCATGAAATATACATCTTAGTTAATTTCCGCCATGAGGAGTTGCGAGGCAGTCACCAACTGGTAGGGACATGAATAAGGGAGATGATGAATTTGCACTGTTTTGATTTGTTACCTAGCAGTGTCTAGTGAAGACATAGACAGCAAGTGCTGTAGTGAGAAGCAGAGTGCACAAATTAGTGAGAGTGTATCTTCACTGTTTGCATCCTGTTGTATGTCATGATTAGTGGTATTTGGCAATCAATACAGCAATAAAAATAAGCCAATCAATACAAATCCATATTAAGACAGTTCAATAACAAGAGATGTATTTGGTGAGACTGCCTGAAGATGGTCCCAAATGTGGACTGAAACATGTAGCAACTATCAAATAAAACCAATATGAGCAGTTCGATTGGTTTATTTATAATGTTTTGTTGATGGTCAAATACCACCAGTAGTGAGAGTGTTATAATTAATTGTAGTTACAAGTTGTAGGAGTACAGTAAATCCAATTACCAATCCAAACCCTGTGTCTAGTCACTAAATCGTTACAGAACAGTAAAAGATGTTACCACAGTCGACAGTGAAAGTGGTTGTACTGAGACTAAGACCATTTATTAAAATTCAAGAATTTTGTATTTTTAATGATATTTCCAAGTGTAAAATAAGATTTTAGATTCTTGTTAAGGTTATCCAAGATTAATCTTGTGGATCACATTAGATACATAGACAGACTGAAGTTCTGTCAGATGCTAGGTTAGCATATGAAAATAGGCCCACATCTTTCCTAATCTCATCATTGATAATTCTGTCATTTCTTGTGTGACACTGTATGAAATTGAATAGAAACATGAAGTGATAAAGAAAAGGACTGAATGAAACCTGTGCTAGGCTTGAACATTCTTCCTGAAAAGCTGTCTGATTCCTTGAACAGGAGACTTTGGTTTCTAGTTTACACTATTTTTTTTAAATGAACATCAGTATATGAATGTAAATGTTATGCAGAGGTGCTAAGAATGTGTATGTACTGACAGAAAGCATTTTCAGCATCTGCTGTAACCTGTTGTAGTTGTAGAAAGCAGTCTTCTGTGATGAGGCACTGTGTAGATATTGTGTTAACCGACGTTCCTTGGAAACATCAGTTAACACAATATCTACATGGCCCCATATCCAAGAAGACTGCTTTCTTTATAGTCACCGCTGTGAAAACCTCAAATCTTACATGTTGTATTTGTAATTTGTTATGCTAAAGGCTTGTCAGTTCTGCTAGCAGTCCAAATCACCACAACACTAGGTGGGAGGAGAATCAGACTTCCACCTGGGAATCTTGGTGCTTAAAACAGTTTCATGTCTTTTGATGTGGAGAAATTAACGATTCTCATTATCCCTTTACACAACCTGACACAATATCAGCCTCTTTCAAACACTTGTAGCCTGGATCCAAGAAATGTTACTACCTACCTACCTACCACTCGGTGCTACAGCCCTGGGTGAGCCTTGGCCTCCTCTGTAACCAGTGTCCGCAACCAATGTGTGCTGCCATAGGAATGGACCCACATAATGACCCAAGGCTGGTTGTTAGGTTTCTGAGCATAATTCATTTTACAGGATGAGGTTGTTAGCCTCATGCCCAACCCCCAGCCTGAAGGACCAGGGTATCTCTCTTAGTCTGGACTCTACTCTGACTTTTCCAGCATGGGTGACCCTACCGGTAGTTAAACTACCGCTGGCATAGCTCTCCAGGTCAAAAAGTCACGCAAGCCCCACCACCTCTGTGTGTCTTTAACACTTTAACATAATATTATGCTTTTCGCTTTTAAACGTGGTGGACCGGTCGCATAATATTATGATTTTAGGACACGTTATGTTGCAACACACTATACCTTGCTCTGGCGCCACGCAGATGCGTAACTGGTGTGTAATAGACCTCCTGAATGTTTGCTTAGTAGTCAGTAACATGACCTCGCTGTTTTCCTATCCCACTCCAAAGGAAAATGCCTTTGTTCATCTTAAAGCTGTATGTACCAGGCAGTAAGTTAGTAGTGCAATATGGATCAAGGATGAAAGCGATTGAAGACCAAGCAATCTCTCGGAGAACAAGAAATATCTGACTTGTTCTCCGATGAGCTAGCTTACGTGCCTTGTGAGACGTGTAGGGATAGTGACTCAGACAATGGCAGTGACAGGGGACAACAAAGAATTGTAGCGAGAGGCAGTAAAAGTGACAGTAGCTCTGATGAACAATGTGGGTAGTAACATTGTGGGGACAGCCACATGGGGAAAAGTAGACAAAACGCCTGCTTTGGTACAATATACTGGAAATCTGGGGGTGAAACAAATTCCATCGGACCCAACGCAAGTGTCTGAAGTAGCAGAACTGTTCTTTGGAGATAGATTCTTTGACATGTTATGTCAGGAAACTAACAGATACTATCTCTGGCACTGTGAAGAGTATGACAGAAGTTATAAGGTGTTGAAGTGGGTGGATGTCACTTCAGCAGAAATGAAAAAAATTTTTTGCAATAATCTTTCTAATGGGGCATACAAGGAGGGATAATCTAAAAGAGTATTGGTCAATAGATCCATTTTTAGAAATTCTCAATTTCGGCAAATTATTTCCAGAAATATCACCCTCTCAAGCACTTCTAGGAACATTGGTAAGTGTTCTCCAAAAATTTTATTTCATAAAATTAATTAGGAGATTTTATATTAATTTAAAAGTGAACAGTGCACAAGTTAGAGTAGTAGGTTTAAAAATGCCGGTCCCCATGGTGATTTAAATATTTAAATTGCCGGTCCACAAAGTGTTAAAAGGTCTGGTTCCAAAACTCTCTTTTTCAGCCAGGGGCTGATTTGTGGGAGAAACTGTATAAATTGCTAGCCAAGTGTGAATGCTTTAATTTCCATCGTAAGACATTTGAATTTTATTATGAATGTAACAACTGAAGATAATATATAGCTTTCATATGCAGAATAAATTCTCAGTGACTCAGAAGTGGGCAGGTCATATTCCTTTTTCCTTAAATAAAAATATCTGACATTATATATGATAATCAAGTATAGCTTGTTCTATATGGACATTGAGTTGTGATGTAGTTCTGTAGTTCTGTAGACTGGATCAGTGAGCTTGATGACTGTTTCATGTAGTGTGGAGTCTGGGCCTGTTATTTTTCAGGGTTTCTTCTCACTGCTATACAACTGTCACTGAAAGATGTTAAGTGCATTAATTTGTTCATTTCTTGCAGCTTGTTCTATGTGGGAATTTAGTGCTGGGTCCTCTGCTCATCCTGGGTCAGTGAAGCTCGTAGCAGTCCCACGATGTGAGAACTCTTTTCGTTTCACTGCCATGAAGCTTTTATTAAAAGATATCAAGTGGACCTGTAAGTAGTTAAACTTTAATATGTTCATGTCTTACAGCCTGTCCTGTGTCGGCAATTAGTGGTCTGAAGATCAGTGAAGTGTAACTGCACTGTAAATAAAAAAGTATATACATATAGCACGAGAAGTAATAATGACTGTCATAGATACGTACATAATTTAGAACTTTTATAACAGTAAACCATCAGTAGCAGGTTGTATCTTCTATAACATCATAAAATGAAGCAGATAACAGTTCCCATTTTAAAAAGAAACTGAAGACCTACTTAGTAAGGGATGCTGTTATTCAACAGAAGATTATCTGAATGTAGAATTCTCATATATGGGCCACTGATAAGCAGATGTATAGAATATGGTATTATTTTATTAAGTTTTATTCATAGTCATTATGTATTTTGATAATTATACAGGGTTATTCGNAGGGTTATTCAAAAAGAATGAACCGATTTTATTACGTAATATTTTACTAATGGAAAGTAATACAAACTCCAGCCAAGTCACAAGTATTCTACTCACAATCAACTTTTATTTTCTGTCTTACAAGTATTCAATGTGGCCACCACCTGCTGCACGGGCAACATCAATGTGATAAGAGAATTCCTCCCAGGCGTGTATCAGCATATCACCATGCATTGAGTTAATCACTGTTGTTATTCGTTGTTTAAAGTCATCGAGGTTAGTGGGTAGCGGTGGAACATAAACGTGATCTTTTACATATCCCCACAAGAAGAAATCACACACGGTGAGGTCTGGAGATCTCGCAGGCCAAGCACAAAGAGCAAGGTCTTTGGGCCCCTTCCGACCAATCCATCGCTGGGGCACTTTTTCATTTAATAAAGCTCAGACCATCGGGTGCCAATGGGGCAGTGCTCCATCTTGTTGAAAAATGAAGTCATGCGAATCTGCTTGCAGTGAAGTGAAGAGCTAGTTTTGGAGCATATCGAGATAGGTTTGTCCTGTAACGGTGTTTCCTTCAAAGAAAAAGGGGCCATAAACCTTGTCCTGAGACACAGCACAGAAGATGTTCACCTTAGGGGAATCTCTTTCGTGCTCAACTGTTTCTTGTTGGTGCTCTGTTCCCCAAATATGCACATTGTGACGATTGACTGTGCTGCTCAAGTGAGAAGTTGCTTCATCACTAAAAATTAAACGTGAAATGAAGGTATTGTCTTCCATCATCTCCAGCATCGAATCGCAAAATTCCATCCGCTTCCTTTTGTCATCATTGGTAAGTGCCTGAACGAGCTGCAGTCTGTATGGTTTCAAATGTAGACGTACTGTTAGCACGTGCCAGACAGTGGATTGAGGGATCGCAAGCTCACGGCTAGCTCGATATGTTGACTTCCGCAGACTCCTCTCAAACTCCTCGGATTCTCGCCACTTATTCCTCCGAGACTCATGGTTGTCCTGGACTTTTTCCTTTACACAGACACCCACTCTCTTGAAACTGTTGAAACCACCGTCGAATGTTCTTAGGACAGGGCGGATTAATGCCGAATCGCCTTCTAAAAGCACGCTGCACTGTGACAACCGAATTTATTTTCGCAAACTCGAGAACGCAGAACGCTTTTTGCTGAGGACTCGCCATTCCGAGGGTAAACGAACAACTGAACGTTGCCGGAAGAACAACGCGACTTCAGCGCCCCTGTGGCAGCCATTCACAACTTAGATAACTCCTCTTTCAAATGGTCACTGACTCATTCCTTATGATGCTTGAGAACTGAAGCAATGCATCATGAAATCGGTTCATTCTTTTTGAATAACCCTGTATAATATAGAATGACATGTCCTATATCATTGTATTTGATCTACAGGATGAATAAAAAAAATGAAACAAAAAACATCCACACTGAAAAGTGAAGAGTCATATGGTTTCAGTGTTGTGGAGGTTGTACAGACTATCAAGTTGACGTAGGGTTGCCAGACTTAGATTTCCAAAAACAGGACCCACTGTTTTGGGTGGGGGGAGTTTGGTAGCTGTGTAAGTAACTCAGTAACTAACTAAGACTGTATTGGGACTGTGCAGTAATTTGAAACTCTGAATTGATTTGTTTTTGACTCCAAAATTTAGTTACTGGCTTGCTGCAATGTATATTTTCTGTTACAAGTTTTAAGGTTTTCAGCGCTATGTAGTTTGGCAGAAGTCTTCTGCCCTCAAGAGGGAGCAGAATGTTCCTTTGAAATGTTGGTAACCATCTACCAGACTACATGGCATCATATCCCAGAAGACTGCAGTCTTAATTTTTTCTTTTTATTCTGTTATTCTTATTGATTTATTATGTAGCAAAAAAGGCCAGGAAAAGTATAAAGGTGAGCTCTGTGATGCACGAAAATGACAGACATGATTGTAAACAGGCCAGTGTTATTGAAATGGAACTCAACACACAGTGTTAAATAAGTCATAGCACTCAAAAGACACTGAGCTCCGCTTGTCTTGTCCACCTTTGTTTTGGCACCAAAGGTCTTGCACCTCTCAGGGCCATAGCTCATGTCTCACTGAGCCTACTGTACATTTGATTAGTTTTCTGGAATACAAAGCATAATAAATTATTACATATTCAACGTGGAGCATGTTCCAGCGACAATTCGAGACCGTGGCAGAACACAACCAATGGTTGGACAGGGAAAAATCAACATACCTAATTACTGCCCTGAAGGGTTGGGCGGCGGAAATACTACCTGGCATTCCGACAAATATGACTTATGAGGAAACACTTCACTTGTATTCATATTTGATGCATGTGACTCTAATGCGTTAATTTCTGGCAACTTGTCATGTATACATTGATTAAGACATTCTCTTTTGTTATATATTGGCCATTTTTGCAGCTGACCTCAAATGCCATGAGATTGAGCAAGAAGATCACAACCATTTGGTTAAAAAACACTATTAAATTGTCTGACATACTGTATTATAATGTGGTTTCAGTTGATTAATATTAATGGAAACTGGTCATTGTTAAGTCATGTCATGCATGCATGTTATGTAAGAATAACTGAGATGTTCTGAATGCAGTGCCATGCATGATGAAAGCAAGTGTTCTGTGATGTATATGCATGCACTGTTTGGAAAGTAACCTCTAGTCAGCTGTTAACAAAACAAGCAACCAGAAAAAATATTATATACAAAAAAAAATACTACTTCTGAACATAGTCACTTCTAGAATTGAGGCAATTGTTTTGGGGAGTACGTTTTTGTGTGCCTTTGTTGAAGTCTGCTGCCTGTGAGGTCAGCCATGTTTTGTATTGTGAAACACTAAAAAAAGAAATTGTGTTGGGCCATACAGAACTAAAGGCATGGAATGCTGACGTATGGTGTAGTGTTCCTCCGTGACAGTGTGCCTTTGCATACAGGTGGTCACACCTAAGTACTGCTGGAGCATTTCAACTGAGAGTTGTGTGATCACCCTTCACACAACCTTGATCTCACTCTGAGCAACTACCAGCAGTACCTACCTGAAGAACTGGTTGTGGTCACAGCGCTTCACCAATAATGAGGAGTTGATGAAAGGTGTCAAAACGTGGCCCAGCTGATGTGACAGACTTCATTGATACAGGCATACGAAAACTTTTTCTGCGATAGGACAAGTGCCTCAATTCCAACACTTACTATGTCGAAAGTAGCTTAAGTATGTACATATTTTTTGTATGTAATAATTTCTTGTTTCTCTAACTGTTCACTGGAGAATACTTTATGAATAACCCTCACAACTTATATTGTTTCCAGCATTGCAATTCAGATTTACAGAGTTTCAGAATGAAAGAAGAACCTTCTGCCGAAGATTCAAACTGTCTTCAGATTACAGTATTCCAGAATTATTCTATGACTGCAGGTGGACAGATGACCGTGATCATTACAAAACCTTCATTTTTCAGTATGAAGCTCTAATGGCATCTCATAGAGAAGCTGGGAAGTATTGGTTCAGGCTGCCAGGTTATGGTGAATTAGGTGAGAAAACACACAAGCCTATTTAAAGATACATAAGTTATTTTCAAGACAGTAGGACTGCATCAACAGAGTAGAATGAGTGTATTTATGTATTGTTTCAATGCTATTTTAAATCATGCCTTTTCATTCATAAGACCTTTGAGATCAGATGGTAGGTTATTAAAAATTTTGATCCCAGCATAATATGCGCTTTTCTGAAACCATGAGAGGTTAGCAATTGGCTTATGCAGACAACATTTGTGTCTTGTGTTAACACTGTGTACATCCACATTCATCTGAAAATGTTCTTCGTTATTTGTAATGAAGTTAATTAATGAATATATATAGTGTGACATGTTGAGCTATGGATGACGCCCCCCCCCCGCCAGCCGTGATGTGCCGAGCG